GTACAGTTGTTTGTCAGTTGATCTATTGGTTGCTGTAAAGAAATATATCATCACCATTTAAGAGAGATTCTGATAACCATTTTTAAAGCTCAAATCTGGTCCCATTGTGTTCTGATGTTTTTTTGTTTGTTTTTTTAACCATATTGTTTCCTTTTTCCTAACTATAGCATTATATTACAACAAAACCCACAGGAATGTGAGGGGAGGTTGTTGTGACTCACAGGGTATTAGAACATTGATTGTTGATCATCAATGTTTTTTTACCATCATCTATCTTCATCATTTATTGTCCTAAAGATAATGCTGCAAATATATTTCCACAAATCACAGTGAATCCAAAGGCAAGACATGACTAAAGTATAAAAGCAGGAACACACTTCATAACAGAAAAAGTAGTTAACGGCACAAACAAAGATGGATGTTAGGGTAGAGTGAAACAGTTGGAGCTGACAGCCAGGAGATATCAAACGGAGAAGGGTTAGAAAGCACCAAAAAGCCATAGGGAGTAAACAAAAAGCAAAGGAAAAGGCGTTTGCTCACGTGAAGGAGTCAGTGAGTGCATGTGAAGTTGTACTCCCAGCATGCCTCTCTTAAGATGACTTTGCTTGCATCTGAAGTACTTCTTGGTTGATGAAAAATTCATAACTTAAACAATGAAACATTGATGATCCAGTTCAAATTTTCTGTGCAAGCACATGACCTGGTGGACAGTAAACATTCTGACCTACCTGCTGGGTTGTTACTGTGATGTGATTTGTCATGTACCTAATAAGAGGGTTCTCACTGAGGACACGTACAGGAGGAAGTTAAAACCCAGATCTGACAGCTTTTTCTCACTGGACAACAGATAGATGTTCATTGAGTAGGAGTAATGAGAAACATCGACAAATGGAGTTCGTTTGTCCCACAACAGAAGTACATTAAAGTACAGAGGTAGTTTTTGGCCTGTTCAGTCATTCCACTATCCATTCACTCATTGTTGCTGTAATTCACAGTCGATACATGGGATTGAGCTCCTGCAGCTAAATCACACTGAGTGATCTTGGTCACAATTAATTGTGAATAATCCACAGCTGCCTTGTGTTTAATCTGATTAATAACTTTAATTGATAGACAGCCCTAAAAATAAACACAGTTTAGGAAAAAGAAACATCACCTGTACAAACAGAAGAGACTTGACAGTATTTTCTTTTAACCAATGTATTCAAAAAATATTAATTTATTATAATGTAAAATATTACTTTGAGACATTTCTTGTGGTGGGGATCAGTCTTGCATCAAATAGTACATTTTTCTCAGTATGTAGTGTGTGTAATGTTCTTAAGTGTGTTACATTGTCATATCTTTCACTGGGTCCTGGATATATTTTAAAAAACAAAACACTTTCTTTAAATTTGTTTTGTCCTCAAGTGTCCTTCAAAACCTTCTCTTTGATTTACTATTTGACTTCATTATCACACATTACAGTAAAGATGAGCTCTGGTGTTTTGTGACAGAAGTGAAGGTGAAGTGGTTTAGAATTGATCCAGATGAATGGGACTGTTATAAATCAACTCTACGTCTTTAGACATTTACAAATGAAGCAATAGACTTGGCCAGTTGGGCACACATTATGGGATGTTGAACACAATAATTTGAATGAATGGATGTGAGAGAAGGTGAGAATTCAAATTGACTGATTTTGAACAATGTAATGATTGTTCATCTGTGAAGCAGCAAGATTTTGGGCAGTATGTAAAAACAGGAGAGCACTGTGTTATCGGAGTCACGTGTGATGAAATAAATCTCCTTCTACAACCACAACTGCTGCAAGAAATAGCAATCACAAAAGGCACATTTGGATTTTAGTTTCTACACAGACATACACTATGAGTTTTAGTATTTTTATTTGTATACTTTCCAATACCGAGTACGTCACCAATACTTCCTTAGTTTGGGCTTTATGAAATGGAAAACAGTGTTTCATACTGTAGGTGATGACCCTGTCATCACATTAGAATGATACGAATAAAAATGAAGTTTTCCACAGCAGATAGTTAACACAGCCAGAAAGTGAGCAGAGCTTTTACACCAAAAGTACTTTTAAAATAAAAACGTCTCCTGCTTTCCAGGGAACAAAGTGTCACTTACTGTCTAATTTGGCGTATCTTTATCCCCCAAACAAATTAAATATATATTTCTTTTAAAATATTTTTAAAATGTAAATACATTGTAAATTCTATTGAAAAATAATTACACAATTTTTTGGTTATACATTTACAGTAAGAAAAAACTAGGATTCCACATTTTCTGTTTGCTCCTCTGTCAAGGAATTGGATATTGAAATGTGCTAATGTGCCTTTCCAAAAGGAACACTCAATGTGGCAGCGTTAATGGAAAGTCTTCACTGAATTGTGACTTTGTTGACTGAACTTTCTCCAGACCACAGCTGAGCTCCTCACTCACTGCCAGTTAAAGAGTCTATCTGTAAGACTGAGCCAAGTCAGGGGAGGGCCTGCCAGGGTCCTGATTAAAAATCCAGTAAGAGCGGAGAGAGGGCAGACAGATGGCTGCAGCCTGCCTCGCTGTTCCTCATGACTGTCTGCTGGGAGATGAACCTTCCTGCTCTACCTGTTTCCTCCTGTGACTGTGAATTCATGTGGTGATATGATCTGTGTTGTTAATTTGGTCTTCATCTTAAGATACACATATTAATAATAATTTTTGTAATAAACCATTAATAGGTTGAGCTTAATAATTGATAATAAGATGTATGGTGTATGGTGATCGTTCCCTCTGCAGGAGAAGAACTGGACCATGTTTATCTTTACTGTGGACATTGACCAGTACCTTAGTTAGAGTCAATGTCAGGACGTTAAAGTTGTCGAGATTTGAACTATTATCTTTATACGTATTTATACTATTACACGACTATAACTTGTGTCCAGACTGGACACCACGATGCTAGGCAGCTAGAAGCTGTGTAAGCTGTCACTACGCATACTGCAGCTAGAAGCTGTGTAAGCTGTCACTGCCCTGACTTTTAAACGCTGCACTCTGTTAAAGTCACTGATCTTGATTAATTTCATGCTGATTCTCTTTCTCTGTTATTAGCTTGTGTTGTTCTGTTTAATTTTCATTCTTTAACACTTCCTGTTTCTTCCTAAATGTGTTGTTTCTTCTTTTTTAAGGACCAGTGTTTCATTAGCTGCATCATTTGCACCTTTTTGCTGTTGTTTTGGTTTCCGAATTGCCCTTTGTCTCTAGCAGTTTGAAGCTTGTTCTCCCTGTGTTGTTTCCTTGTCTTCTTTGTGTTTTTTTCTGTGATGTTTTCCGTATTTTAAAAGTATTTCTTCTTCATATATGCAGCCTTTTTGTTGTCATTGTTATTCAGCGTACCTGCATTCAGGTTCCGCCTTTAACTGAAGTCTTTAAGGCTTCGCAACTCAACTGTTTTCAAGGTCACAGCAGAAATGAGAAGCCTGGTTTTCTTTGTTGCCCTTCTGAAGAGATCGTTGGTGAAACTGTTTGCTGCTGATCACAGCTGTGAAGGACATAAACCTGAGAGTGTTAAGGTTTTACAGCTGGAGAGAAAACAGTGAAATTAAAATCATAATAAAACAAATGAAAAGCTTGATGCACAATTGTACCCGAGACTTTGGGGCACAGGTAGAACAATGTCACATGAATGCTGTCAGTATCTTTACATCATTTAAATTGGAACAGTGTTAGTGCACAGCTGAAGGTGTGATCTAATGACAGGCCGGGGACCGAGAGGCAGCATGTCGGGGAACAGGGTTAACTGGGGAAAAAAAATGACATTCCATTGACAGGGCTGTGACAGTGGAGAGGCTGAGAGCGAGGGCAGGCAACGGCACCGTCACTCTGGGGAGATTTAAAAGCCCTGCGCTCAGACAGCCGCGGGCTCCTCTCCATTGAACTTTTTGTCATGTACAGCTGAAAGTGTGGAGCCACAGATCTGTACTCTGGTTCTAGAGTTTCAGACACTTGTTTACTATTTCCTTGACTTTTTCGAGCTTTTTCACCGTCATGTGAGCTGACAGACACAAAAATAAAAATGTACTAGGTATCTGTATTTTAGACCTGTGAAGAAATAGGCAGCAGAGATGTTTGATGAAATTCATAAATGGCCTTTTTAACTGTTCTGTACTAAAAAAAAAGGAATGGTTTTCACGTTTTTCAAATGTTTTTGGAGTATATCCAACGGAGCATATCATTTGTTTGCTTAGACAGTTATCTATAGCATTCTTTATTTATCTTCCAGGATGTGGCAGGCTTCAGTAATGGACAATCAGTGTAATGAGGTTGGATCACCTGTAAGAAATGACTTCAGGAGAAGTGAATCCCTTGCAATACTAATGAAATGTTTTGCCCGAAGACATTAAACTCTCCTGGCATCGTTCTACTTCTGATTTAAATTGTAGCTAAAGTTTTTATAACACATAAGATTAGGTACATGTTAGCTATGGCGCTTAAACTCTTAATATAAAAATGTGTGCGTGTGTGTGTTTTCTACAAATGAAATGGTCGTACAGTATATTTTGTGTAAACCTGTATATTTTGTACTGCTACTCTGCAACTCCTAGAAAAATAATATAATAATTTCACTCTAAGGTATTATTATTTAAATTTTCCCATCAACAGTTATGATAAATGACAGACAGTAGAACCCTTCCAGATTAATTGTAGTATTATATAATAATAATAATAATAGTTCTATTGTTGTGTGGCTCACACAGCATACAAGAACTGCTCCTTTAAGATGTGGCATTGTTTAATAACCATTCTGTGGAGAACCCTTTATTACAACTCCACCGTAGAGTCAACTTTGTCTTTTCTATGGGTAAAAATGTGTTTCTGTTGTTCCGCCTCGTGTGACTAAATAACTTATACCATTCAATGCACATTCACTGAGAGCGTACAGAGATGTCAGAGAGACACCGGCTGTATCCAGTGTTTACTCTGGCTCATGACTTTTCCCATTTGATTTTATTCTTCAGATGTTGGAAGAGCAGTTCACGCCCCGGCACACATCACAGAGAAAGTGGTGCAGCTGTTCAGGAGTAAAAGTGAATTTACCTTCTTGGCTTCCATCCAGCAGAAGTCGTCCACATCAGGAGTCGTATTCTCCATCCATGAGTCGGAACACAGGTAATCCATGTCTAATCCTCTTCATTTGGGCCTGCAGCTTTTTTGCAGCATAGCTTTACTTCCACGGATTACTGAGCACTCTCATTCTAAATTAAAGCTCGGTGATGAACCGCCATCTCCTCGTACCTGCTGACAAAAGCTGTTGACGTGGAGTAAAAGTAATAATTGGAGTGAGATTAGATAATTTCTGCGAAAGTCAGCTGGTCATGGGTGATGTTGACGCTGCAGCATCCTCATGTCTGCCCACAGCAGAGAGATCTCTCTGTAGTTGGACGTTTGAAGTGTATTTCATTTTTTGAAGTGTGTGAACAGCTGTACAACTGGCAGAAGATGAAATATAATAATAATATTTCCAGACCTTATATTGACCTCAATTTTTATGACCCAGTATTCTGCCTAATCTCAAGCCTTTAAGATTTCAATAATGCCATTATTTTTTGCAGTGGTCTAAATGTTATTAGCTCTGATGGATCTCCAACAAAGTTGTAGTCAGTTAGAAACAGTGAGTCCTCTTTCTGCTCACTAAGAGGCTACACTACTGTGAGTAGTTTTGAAAGGACAGGGAACATTGATTTCCCTCCTTTGGCTTAAAGGTAAATGCTTTCAGTTCTGTATAACCGGCAGTCAAAGTGAGCTTGTGTGTTTGTGTGTGTGTGTGTGGGGTATTCAGACAAAGGCAAAGTCATACACAATTGGAAAGTAAAGAGTGTCCTTCATTTGAAGCAGAACTTTGAATTTTTTCTAAAATCTTTTAGAGTTTTTCTTTTTCAAAAGCAGTAACTAGCACCTCTACACTGCAACTTGCAGTCGTCTGTCCAAAACATAAAAAAATGATGATTAATATTCAGACTAAATGTCTTCTTCTAGGGACATCTGGATTAAATGTGGTAGAACTTGGTAGAAATCATTAGGGAAAATAATCTTAATTATGAATTGTATAGTTCTTTCACATATAAGTGTAAAGATAAAAATAAGAGCAGCCCTTTAGTGTGTGGGCATCAGACTGTATACACTACAGATGCACAACCTGCATGTAAGCCCCTGCAGTGGTTTTAAGGTGACCTTCAAAGTTGATTTTTAGTTCCCTTTGTCTCCTTTTCCCTGTCCCACATTACCTGCTGGCTAAATTGCTGCACAGTGGGTTGGCCTTCCAACAGAGTGGCTAAATGGAGCTGTGGATCTGAGGTTACCGTCCTCCTCCTTCAGGCACAATGACATGCCCCATACAGCAAATGTTTCTTAATGCAGAATTCCTACAGGGAAAAAACAGGGAAGATGGAGCTCAACTTAACGGCTGCTGATTACTGTCTAGCCTTGACAAAGGGAGGTCCAACTACTTTTCAAATGTGCTAATATAAAACTGTAGATGGATTCCCATCTCTTGTCAAGTCATCGTCTGACACCTGGCAGATCTAGTCAAGAAATCTTTTTTGTAGGATTGATTTAAACCCTGTCATGGAACTCTTCTTTGTCTTCAGACTTCGATGTCTTCTCCTTTTGACAATAAGATGTGTTAGATTATTAGTTGGCCCCAACACCAAACGGTTGATGAGCCACTGAGTTACAAATGAAGGCCTGCGTGAGATACAGTGGTTTTTAGGTATCAAATGCATCACCTAATAACCAACTCCTAGATTATTACTAACAGTGATGAAGTTGAAATTGTATAAATATTGAAAAATTGTGTAACATTACCTGCAGTTGGTTGGTTGGTCAGTCAGGTGCAATGCATGATGGTTTATGTCTTGAAATACTGTCCTCAGTTTACCACTTGGTCAGTGCGGCTGACTGTGTCACTGTTTCAAATTCCATAACAACAAAACCAAACCTGAATTGTTAGTTTACTGCCGTGATAACAAACCTCTGCTCTGCCATTGTACATTTATATCCTAATACTTTACTCTAAACAGTGTGTATTATTAGAGATCATAAAGGAGTCATTGGGATGTAAATGTGTCTCGCTCATGTTTTTCACTGGTGAGGTGGGTGAGTCACACAGGAACACTCTGAGTGTAATTAAATTGGGTCAGATGGACAGAGCCTGGAGTGGTTCAGTGCAGACCTGTGCTCCATTGTGACCGAGGATTTGTTCTGAAACCCTGAATCCTCTCTGAAGGCCCTATTAGAGCCTTCTGCCGATGCCCATTCTTTCCCATTATAACACAGACCTTCTTTCCAGCCAGCTAACAGACAACTATTTCTATCACTGGGCTGAATCCAATCACAGATTTCTTCACTTCCCCTTCTTCAATACGTCTTTTTTCCTCTACTGCACATCATCAAACCGTTCTCCTTTCTCCTCCCACCTCCTCTGCACGTCCACCTTACAGTATGATAATATCCCTGCCACCTCCATCCTCTCATCCTTTGCTTGCCACACTCTAAGGGTGGGAAAAAGTCTCTTCAGCGTGAAGCATTTCTTTGTACCATCTTAAAAGATTTGTTCTCTTGTGCCCAGCTCGTGGGGATGTGGAGGGAAGAAGCTTTATTGCTTCTTCACTGGGCTGAATAGAACAAAAGAAGAATATTTTATCCTAGCCAGCAGTTTTCATGTTGCGCTTACACTTTTGTTGTCAGTGAGTCGCAATAGGGCTGTGATGAACTAACTCAGCCTCCAGTCTCTTACTGTTATCCCTACTTGAGCAGGCAAACACCAAAGTTGCTCAGCCAGCTCCTCAGCCTGTGTGTTTCTACCTGCTAACTGTCCCGAGTTCAGTACCCGAGTTCAGAAGTGCATAAAAGTTTGTCTTTTTTGGGGAAACAAAGGAGGAAACTTTTTTTAAATACTGTTTGTTTTACATTTGTTTGATGGTGGTAGAATGTACAGTAGTCAGCTCCATAGAAAGAACAGCTGCTACTGTACAAGTGCCTTTAAATGGTGCCATAAAACCAGGGAACTAACTTTTGGTCCACAGGCCTGGCCCTTCAGCCCTAATGATTCTTATGTGTACGACTCCTGCTTATCACATTGGCTTCTTTTTAGAAGATAAATTCCCTACGCTGCACCAACCTGCAGTAGTCTCAGCCTCAGCCTTAATCATCTCTCTGTGATTTTGATGGCATCTTATATCATGTTTTCTGTCAACAAAACAGGCCATGGTTTAATATTTAGTAAGTCAATTAGAAGTAAATTGAACTGTGTAACGTAAAATATGTGCTGTGGCTCAAAAATGGTTGGGAAATAGGTTAGTTTAGAGGTTAGTATTATTAGGTTAGTGCCTCCATGATACAATTTATACAGTATTTTTATTGAGAGCCTAAAATTTATATATATATATATATATATATAGTCAAATACATTTATTTAGTGGCCCAACATATAATGAATATATAAAGTACATTCAGTTTATATGATTAAATACATATATAGAGCATTTACTGTAGACATTATTGTCACGTCAGGACTTTATCTTGGATGTAAACTGTCGCAGCTTCATAGATAAAACACGAGGACTTAGTGATGACAAAGGAAATGTCATTTTTATACTCACACAACAGGAGAACAGAAAAAAACAAAGTGAGAATTATTATGAAGAAACTAGATCCCAATGGGACAGAACAAAACAGAGGTAGAAAACAAGATTTCAAAGACTTTAGGATGAGAAGTAGAAACAGTTAAAGAGGAGTCTAGCTGCCAGGCAGAAAAGGAAGAAAACCTAGAAAACACAATTACTGTGAGGCAGCAAATATAGGTCTTGCTTAACAAATATCAACAACACAATTCAAATCTATATATTTGACAGAGAAAAACTGTCAAGTGAACTGGAGAGGATTCATGTCAGAAGAACGTGAACTTCTTCTCTAAGGTGTTTTTTCCCTTGTGGGCAACTTTTTAACAGTAGAGGCAGAGTTAGAGTCCTTGGGTTATAGTATAGCATAACAGAGTATTAACAGAGTTAACAGATTAACACCAAGGAATAAATAACAGCAGATTAAGAGACATGGTTTTCAAAATAAACAGATCAATCAAACATTGCCACTCGGGTTTAAAGTATGTCCAAAATCAATGGGATTTGTTTGTGACTCTACTCAGACAGGCACTCTTCCAAC